GCAGGCTCAATGTGCCGAACGGCCTACATTTAATCCTAATTCATCGTCAGGTTTGTGATATAAGATTTTATTGAAGTTTGAAGGAAATACTTAAAAGCGTGAGTTATCTAAACTTTGAATTCAGGTCATTTATCAAACTGACAGAGAATGTCGCCTGTTGTAGTGTCTATCGTTTTATCTTATCTTTGCTTGTCCTGTATGGTGATGTAGACAAAATGTTTTGATAATGCCATATTTTGTTGGAAGAATTATGTAGTGTGTATGAAGGCACAATCTTGGAAGTGCAGTACCCACTTATTAAGTTACAGCTCCACAACGCTGGTTAAATTGCTGTCATCCAGCTGGTCCACAAGCAGGTTAGCATTGATCCTTGCATGTAAGAATGAGGTCACATCATATCTGTGACCATGAGAAATACTGCATATGTACCTTGCCTTTCTCCACTGGTGACTGTGCAAGGGACACTAATTTACTTTGCATGCACACCTTCCTTTGAGAGGGGAAGAGTCAAAGACACATGCACATCATTTGGACAAGCTACAATTCCTATCTAAGATACACTTTTGATCTATACGCATTTGTCTGTCTAAGCATTGACTGTGCATGCAGAGAATGGGATTAATTGACAGTGGGAAGGCAACTCTCTCAATATATCCTTAGTAAAACTAGGACCATCTGTACCAAAAATAAGGTACACAAATGGCCTATAGTTGAGCTATGCTTTCCTCTTTTTGAGTGTATCATATATACTTGTGTAGAAGATGAGAAGTGTGCTTTGGGTTGCATCTAGGTGAGGGGTAATATCTACCCCGCTGATGTGTCTCAACACAGCTGAGCAGGACAGGCATGATGAGGCAATTTAATTATGAACCATGTCATGTTGACATGAGTGGTTTTTGCATTGAATTTTGGAGATCGTCTTCTATATTAGTATATGTGATGTATGCATGTTGCTTTTGGAATGTATATTTTTGATAACGTTTTAAAGTTTTAAAAATTAATGTTTATGTTTATAATAATATAAAAATTATGATACTTCTGTTCTTGACTTCAAATTAACATTTTAGTCGCTATCACTTTTAAATTTTCTGACAGTCATTCTCACCTCAGTTATTTCTTTTCCCCATATCTGGGAAAGCATTTTTACAGGATTGAATTAATAGTAACGATAGAGAATGCCTCTCTGCAACACCTTAAACTCAATATCTTAAACATAGAAAATTAGTTTTTTTTGGGTCCATGTCATCATGACCTGAGTGGACAAGCATCAATTTACCTGCAATTCCACAAGAGAGATGAATATATTCCTGGTTTTTTCATGGATGTAACTACTTGCTTCACTTAAACTGCACCTGTTCCAGTATGAGATAACAAGGTGTCGAGCTGGATGAGCACAGCAGGCCAGGCAGCATCAGAGGAGCAGGAAAGCTGACGCTTCGGGTCTGGACTCTTCTTCAGAAATGATCTCTAAAGAAGGGTCCAGACCCAAAACGTCCGCTTTCCTGCTCCTCTGATGCTGCCTGGCCTGCTGTGCTCATCCAGCTCTACACCATGTTATCGCAGATTCTCCAGCATTGGCAGTTCCTACTATCCCTGTTCCAGTATGAGTGCTTAATTCTATACTGTTATCACAGAGATGAAAAGGTAAAACGTTTGCCCTGCAACACACGGTCAGGACTTGCACTTTCGTGTCCTGTAGCTGAGGAATACATCAATTGGAGAGGCTGTGCTGAACTGAGAAGGAATTAGGTCTGAACTGAGAAGGAATTTCTTCACCCAGAGGGTTGTTAATCTATGGAATTCCTTGCCCAGTGAAGTAGTTGACGCTACTTCAGTAAATGTTTTTTTAAAAAAAAAAAAACGATTTTTTTTGAACAATAAAGGAATTAAGGGATACGGTGAGAACGCGGGTACGTGCATCTGAGTCCATGAAAGGATCAGCCATGATCTTATTGAATGGTGGAGCAGGCTCGAAGGGCCAGACGGCCTACTCCTGCTCCTAGTTCTTATGTTCTTATGTTCTGTATGTAAGACATTTTCTTGTGTGTGACTGTTTTGGTATCAGTGACAGAATTTAAATTTGAGGAGATAGGAGTCACTTTATTTTTCACATGATTATTTTAATACTTTCACTTTTTTGTTTTTATTTCTTGTTGGTTCTCCTCCCACGACATTAACTTGCTGCAGAGCTGCACTTGTTCTCAGAGCTAGCATTTTACTAAAAAAAGAACCATCAGCTCAGGTTATAAACATCTGTCTAACAAAGCCTCATTAGAGTTTCTGCATTTGACATTGACTTAAGGACGGAATGGGGCTGAGTTACATCAAATGGTCCACTGACACTTGCTTTTACCATCACGGGTTAATGTTGCTTTGAGATTCCAAACAAATATGGACTAGAAGGGAGAATGCTAGTGTTTAAAGAACCATGTGTATCTTAATTTGATGCATGTTTTTACAAGTTTAAATCAGATACAAAACTTCCAGGTCATTACAACCAGTTCCCCAATGACAAACTTCTGATTTACCATCAATCCAGTAATGTATTCCTTGCAGCGGTTCAAGTACAGACTTTAAGTACCTATTCTGAAACCATTACATCAACAGTATGACAAGATCAGGAACAATTCCAAGCCTTGCTGTACCATACAAGTTTGCAGAGTTTGTTGTATTGAGTCTTGTGTGGTATTGAAACCATGTTTTTATTGTGGAGATGCTGGTGTTGGGCTGGGGTGGACAAAGTCGGAAGTCAAAACCAAAAGAACTGGATGCTGTAAATCAGGAACAAAAACAGAAATTGTTGGAAAAGCTCAGCAGGTCTGGCAGCATCTGTGACCCTTTCTCAGGACTGAGTCAGAAGTCAGAAGTCACATGACATCAGGTTGTGGTCCAACAGGTTTATTTGAAATCACAAGCTTTCAGAGCATTGCTTCTTTGTCAGTTAACATGGAGGGAAGAGCACAGGCACAGAATATATAGGCAGAGAGATAATGGCAAAATAATTCCAGGTAATTATAAGAGTGTCAACAGGTAAGAATAAATACTGAGAGTGGAGTGTTGATAGGCTGCATAACAAGTCTTTGCAGGTGTTTGAAAGTGTCAAATGATAGGAGTAAAATATCAACAGCTGAATAACAAGTGAAGGAATGACCTATGAATCGACTAATAAAGGCACATGCTTTAATCTTTCGACACTCCACTCATTATTTGTACTGGTGAGCAGAAGACCAGATATTTAAGAATTTTCTTTTTTCAGGAGAAAGCATAAGTCGATTAGTAATACTCCTTTAATATTTGTTAAAGGCAAGTCCTGTTTCACCTTGAAGTCTTCAATGAAGAAATGGAGAGGGGCAATTATATTAGTGTGTTAATATTTATATGGACTTTCAAAAGGCTTTTGAGGCTCTGGGTAGAAAAAAATGAAGTCAGTGGGATTAAAAGGACAGTGGCAACATGAATAAAATAACATTCTTTTCAGACTGAACTGCACTGTTTTATCTCCTGAGCTCTTACTGGAACAAATCTCTTATTTTAATATGTTTTAACTGTTTTGGATTTGGATATCAGGGACACATTTTCAAAGATTACACAAACATGAGGTGCATTGTAGTAGACTGCAGAAGGTCATAGTCTAGAATGGACAGAAACATAGCAGACTAAATTCAAAGCATTCAAAGGTGGCAATGAAGTATTTTAGAAGGAAGACAGGAATAAGAGAAACAATGCCAAGTATTTAGTACAATTTTAATAAGGTATAGGAGTAGAGACCTGGAAGTTCACATGAGTGAACCTTTTGAAGGTGACAAGATGTTCATAAATAAAAGCAAAATACTGCAGATGCTGTAAATCTGAAACACGCACAGAAAGTGCTGTAAAACACGCTTCCAGGGTTCAGGAAATGATGGCGTTGTGAAGTTGTACAAAAGCAATTTTTTTTACAAGTACATAAAACCAAGTAAATACGTATTATGTTTATTCTCAGCAAACATATACATGTGAAATTAAAGCTGTGAGTGGTCTATGTATAATGTTGCACAGTTGCAGTCAGGAGTAATTCATTGCTCAGCCGTTCTTTCGGATCCCTTTTATTTAAAAGGGAAGAGCCTAAATCTGATACCTGATGTGCAGAGGAGGAGGAACTAGGCAGCATATAATAAAAAATAAATTAAAAAGCTGAATACTTTCAAAATGCCTGCTCAAAGAATCATCCTGAAATTAGACTTTTGTTTGAATTTAACAATTCTAAATCTTTGAAATCAGAGTACATCTGAAACTAAGTTAATTATTTGGAATTATTTGAAAAGGGTTGGGACATGTACATAAACTATTGAGCAATAAGCTTAACATCTAATATAAGGAAAGTTGTAACTTATTTTGAGTTTAATAGACGATCTCTTGGAAAGCATGGATTCAGGATGGAAAGGTCTTGTTAACACTTTTTATGGAGTAGGTGAGTCACAGCTGGTTTATATACTTGGATCTTCAGAACCAATGTCAAGAATCATGAACTAAGTTACAATTTAATTTAGAAACCACTCGTTTGTTTGGTCTAAATGTGTAATGCGCAGGCTGCAAAGAACATAAAAGCAGGATGCTCTGGGATCAATCTGTACTCCTTACGCCATTCTTATTTCAACTTTAGAAGGTTGACTTTGCTCTTGATAGTAGGAATGGACAAGAAATAATCATATTAATCACTGTGATGGGGAGGTCAAATGACAGAATACAGTTTGAAAAGGAAAAAAATAAATAGAAAGTGAAGCCCAGTAGCTATGGTTTACCAAAGCATTGTGCAGTAAACTTATCAATGCAATCCATTCTAGCTGATGCATACTTCTCTAGTCTTTGGAGAGAGAGAAAGGGGATGCAAGTGTGGCTAATGAAGGGAGTTGATGTATGAAGAGATGGAGGGTTTCTTATATATCGTTGCTGTTGATAATCTTTGCATACCTGATTTGCATTTTACTTGTTTTTAAACGGCATTTCATTTTGGACTTTAGTTCTGGAGTTGTTTGGGAAATGAAACGGAAGCAACGCTGGAAGCCTTTTAGTCAAAAGCTCATCAATCTTTTGGAGCAGAGCTACCAGACACACCTGATTGAAAAGACTGCAGAACATTGGATTAAGTTGGACAGTAACTTGGAGGTAACATAGAACTGGATAGTATTGTTAAGACCAGATTCCAATGGACCTGCTAGCTCATGACTGTGAAGTTCCTTGTCTTATCAGAAATTCAAACTTGCTCTATACTTCCACTCAGTTAATCTATTGATGTTTCCAAAACTCAACAAAATCGTAATGATTTCCATTTACTCCTCCCTTCCTGAGTTTTCATGTAATTAACATCTTTTAAATTTGTTTACTGCCCTACTTCAACAGCAGCATTAGTAAGCATTTAGAAGGTTGCTTATTTTAAAGTTTGTCATCTTGTCTGAGCTATTTGTTGTTAAGCCTCATGAAATTAGTTAAAACACAGTGAACGTGAGCCTTTTTTTAAAAAAAAAAATCACAACCAAGCAAAATTATCACTATGCAACAAGCTTGTATTTTTCCTGATGGTTAAAAGGAGTAAAATGAATCTGACTTTTCTTCCCTTCCCTCCTGTGCCTTGGCTGAATCAAAATTTATTTCAGATTTTAAAGAACTCTGCACAATTTAAAAGGCAAATGGCAGAGCAGTTGTGCCATCTTCAGTCGTCTTGGATCTTTTTACTGTGCTACTTTCTAACTATATTTACTACTTTTTATGCAATTTAATAGTCGGAGCACTAGATGGTGTACCGAGAATTGTTTCAGGTGATGCAGTGAATTTCCTATTTTGAGATTCCATGTTTATTGTGCTTTTTAGGTTAATTTTCATGTTATGCAAATCCGTTTGCCTCAACGATTGAGCATCAGACGAAACTTTTTATCTGGCATTCAAGTTGAGTATAAGCAGTCTGCTCATCACAGGAGTTTACGTGCCCAGTTGTATTGGCTGCAGGTAATGTTCATTGGTTTGTCAGCTTCTTGCATGGGTTCCCTAGTTCTTACATTGTAGAGTTCTTTTATAAAGACTACTATATCCTAAGTAGAGTTAACTAAATGTTTAATTTACCTGATGGGCACTTGTAACTTATCAACTTTAGTTTAAGGGGCAGTAGCACAGTAGGGTTATGCACAATATTTGGCAGTTTTTTGAAGGTGATGTAGGTGCAACACGGTATTCAGAGGCGATCTAAAGTTGCTTGATAATCTAAAATGTTTTATGAGAACATGTGAAAAAGGAGCACAAGAAGGGCCATAGCTTTTTACTTCACCTCACAAGTTTTGTTCTTGGTGTGGGTTTATTCTGTGTTACATGCACTCATTGCATTGAGTGATTCATTCACTGGTGATCGAACACAAGTGCACTGGTCCGCAGTCTTAGACAATAACAGAAGGTTAGCAAAAGGAAAAATCAAGTTTCTACCCAGTTGATAGCTAATAATTCCATGTACCTAGTGACCAAGAAACATCTGCTTAAGATGACTGTTAGACCTCAAGAGGCTTATTATGCCCAGTTCTGGTTGCCATACTATAGGAATGATCTGTATGTACTGGAGAGAGTACTGAAGCAATATACGTGAATGGTTCCGGGGTAAGGAATTTCAGTTTTGTGGATAGATTGGGACTGCTCTCCTTAGAGAGGAAGGCTAAGAAGAGACTTCAAATCATGAGCGTGCTGGATGGAGTAGATGGTGGGAGTGGGCGGGTGAAATGTTTTTACTGTTTGTGAAAGGATCAAAAATGAGAGGGCACAGACTTAAAGTGATCAGCAAAAGAAGCAAATGCAACATGAGAAAAATCTTTTGCACATGACAAGTGATTTGGGTCTGTAATGTACTGCCTGGAAGTGTGGTGGAGACAGCTTCGATTGAGGCATTCAAGACAGCATTGGACAATTAGTTGAATCAAAACAATGTGATACAGTGAGAGGAAAAGTCAGGTGAATTACAGTAAGTCACAATGCTCAGTAGCGAGCCTGTGCAGGCATGATAGTTGAGCCAAGGAGGGCAGATGAGCATTGAAGCTCAGATAAATGAGACAATCTTACTGAGGCGTACGAGATCCTGAGATGGCTTGGTGGGGTTATAGGCAAAGAGGATGTTTTCGTTTGGTGTATCTTGAATTTGAAGCACAGTTTAAAAATAATCAGGTGTCCCATTTCAAATGAAGATATGGGGGAGTTTTGTCTCTGAGGGTCATTAACCATTAGAATTTTGTCAAAAAATAGTGGAGACTGGTCTCCAACCTATGCTGAGAAAATTGGTGTAGTTCAAAAACCGAATGAAGGACTTAGTCATACAGTGCAGAAACAGATCCTTTGGTCGAACTCGTCTGCACCAGCCAGGCATTTGAATCTGACCACGTCCCATTTGTCAGCATTTGGCCCATATCCCTCCATATCCTTCCAGATGCCTTTTAAATATTGTAATTGTACCCACCTGCACGCATCCTCTGGCAGCTCGTTCCATGCGAACACCACCCTGCACAGTTGGATGGTGGCTCAGTGGTTAGCACTGCTGCCTCGCAGCACCAGGGACCTGGGTTTGACCATACTCCTGGGCGACTGCCTGTGTGGATTTTGCATGTTTTCTCTATGTCAGTGTGGGTTTCCTCCGGGTGCTGTGGTTTCCTCTCTGTCCAAAGATGTGCAGGTTAGGGTGGATTGGCCATGGGAAATTGTCCATAGTGTCCAGGGATGTGCAGGATAAGTGGATTAGTAATGGGAAATGTGGAGTTACAGAGATGGGTTGGGGGTGGGTCTTCAAAGTGTCAGTGTGGACTATAGCTATTCTCAAATTCTGTAACTTTATGATTCTGTGATTCTCTGCGAAAAAATTTGCTCCTCAGGCCCGTTTTAAATCTTTCCTCTCTTACCTAAACCTGTGCCCTCTAGTTTTTGGACTACCCCATCTTAGGAAAAAGACCTTGGCTATTCACCCTATCCATGACCCTCATGGTTTTACAAACCTCAATAAAGTCACCCCTCAACCTCCGATGCTTTAGGGAGAAAAGCCCTGGCTTATTCATCCTCTCCCTATAACTCAAACCCTCCAGTCCCGGCAACATCCTTGTAAATATTTTCTGCACTCTCTCAAGATTACTAGCATCCTTACTATAGAAGGCCTCACCAATGCCCTGTGCAGCTGCAACATGACATCTTAACTCCTATACTCAATGGTCTGATCAACGAAGACAAGCTTGCCAAATGCCTTCATCACCACTCTGTCTACCTGCGACTCCACTTTGAAGGAACTGTGTGCCTGCACCCCAAAATCTCTCTGTTCTATAACACTCCCTAGGGCCCTACCAATAACTCTGCAAGTCCTGCTCTGGTTTGCCTCACTAAAATGCAACACCTCACATTTAACTAAACTAAACTCTGTCTGCCACTCCTCAGCCCATTGGCCCATCTGATCAACATCCTGTTAACATATTAGGTAACACAGGTCACTGGTCTGTGAAAGAGCATCAACAGCAAAGAACCAGAGTTTTCCTGTTGATCATGGGAACCGCTGTTCCCATTTGTAACTATGAAAGCATTTTATCAGAAAAACAATAGCAACTAATGTTAAAGGAAAGCTCAGATTAGTGTTACTGTTGTCCAGCTTTTCCAAAGTTTGCGTTGTGTCGTCAAAGGTTCAGTGACATCACTCCCTGCTCTGAGTCAGAGGTTTGCGGTTCAGGTCTCACTCAAGGTTGTGCATCCAAAAAGTATTATGTGTTTGTTAGCACCTTGCTGGGCATTGGCTGCCATATTTCCTACATTACAATGTTGACTTCATGCCAGAGGAGCTGCTTTGCTTGTAAAATGCTTTGAGCTGCCTTGAAGTAAAAGGTGCTAGATAAATGGAATAAAAATTAAGTGCTGGAGAGACTCGGCAGACCTGTTTGCTCTGTGAAGATAGAAACCCAAGTTAATGCTTTGAGTTGAATATGAATTCTTTGGAACGGGACAGAAATAGAATTTCTTCCTATCTGGACTTGAAATGCTGATACAGTGTGGTTCTAATTCGATATACCTTCAAAAGCTTGCAGGCCATGAAAGAAGGGGAGATTTGTGTTTCTTCACCTTAGGACTTCCAAAAATGTTTGTTCTACAGTCATGAGTTGGAGTGGAACTGAGAGAATCAGCACGGAGGGAACTCAACACTAATAGCAAAAAATAAACAGTTCCTACTCTTGATGTTTTGGAATACTAGGTATTGTTCTATTGAACCTTTGAGTATGTTATGATTCTTTGTTACAGGTTGATAACCAGTTGCCTGGTGCAATATTTCCAATAGCTTTCCATCCAGTACCACCTCCAAAGTCCATTGCTTTGGATTCAGGTCAGTAATCAAATTAATCAATACTTTTTATCCATAATTACATCCGTTTATTCATGCATATTGCAAATGCTGATATTTTTATGTGTACTCTGTTTAGAACCAAAACCATTTGTTGATATAAGCATCATCACAAGATTTAATGAACACAGTCAAGTCATGCAGTTCAAGTGAGTATCTTTTTGTCAATACTAGAGACAGTGCTATTTCCAATAAGACTAGTATACTATATTATTAGAAAATGATTGTTTATTAAATTGTCGTAGCTATTACAAATTATTAAGAAGCATCAAACACCAAATTGGTGGATTGTAGCTGTTCATCAGTTTCATCCTTTGTGATTAGGAGTCAAACCCAGTTGCAGATTGCAGGAAGGTGTCCTCTCTGATTGGGGACTCTGCGATCAGACTGACCTTTCATCCTTCAGGATTTGGGGTCAAACCCACATGCGAGATGAAATTTGTTGCTGATCCTTTAATGATCATAAGGAGTTGGGAAATCACTGGAATATTATGCTCAATTCTAGGCATCAGATTTTAGGAAGCCTTGGAGAGAATGCAAAAGGAGATGGCCAACATGTACCAGGGTTTGAGGAACTTCAGTTAATGTGGAGAGATTGGCCTAACTGGGATTATTTCCCTTATTAAGCGAAGATTTAAAAGAATCTTTCAAAATCCTGAAAAGTTTTGATAGAGTAAATGAGGTGAAATGGTTGCATTTTACAAAAGATCAGATCATGTTACCAGACTGACAATCCAGAGGACAAGACTTCAACTCCAGAGATATCAGTTTCAAATAATAATTAATAAGTCTAGAATAAAATTCAGTGATAGTGATCGTGAAACTACTGGTTTGTTATAAAAATCCAGCAACTTTAGTGATGCCAGTCAGAGAATGAAATCGGCATTCTTTATCCACGATCAGGCCTACATGTGACTCCAGACCAATGGAAATATGGTTGACTTTTAACTACTCTCCAATGGTATAGCAAGGCACTCAGAAGAATTCAATAAGAATTAAACCGAACGTACCACCTCCGAAGAGAAGAACTTGGCCTTTATTTTACTAGGGGTTGGGCATATTGCTTGCCTTTTGGAAATGTCGGTCGCAAATTAACTTTAAAAAATTGCTGCCCAGCAACCGTATTACTTGTAGTCGCATTAATAAGCAGCGATTGGGAGTTCTGCTCCTCAGTGGAAGCGAATTCAATCATCATTACCTGCTGGCCAGTCTGTTTGGCCAGCAGCTCTTGCAGTCCCAACAGGACCAGAAGTCATACTGAGACTGCAAGCCATACCGTAAAGAATAGTGATGGTGACCAGATGCAGGTAAATCCTGGGAGAGACAAATGAGGCTGATGTTGGGGCCCTGTTCTTGATGTGCGTGCTGAGTAGTAAAAGATGTAACTCCCTTTCCTTCCTGCTTTATCATTGACCTTCCCACTCTTGCTCACTTTCCACCACTGGGAATTGCACCAATGCTGGGAGAGCTGGCCCTCAGATAGTTAGACTACAAACTACTAGTCATTCTCGCTGAATTATACATCTCAGCTAGTGTTGCAAACTCCCTACTATCCTTCGGTATGCCCTGTTCCACTGGTAAGACAGATCCATCAGAGATGTTGGCATTAGCAGTATGCGAACAGGACCACAGTGTAAACTTTACTGGTGCTGCTATTTACTTGTGCCATGTTAGAATCTCTTTAGCATCAAGAAATTGATAATATATACTTTTATGTTTTTGAAATGATGCCTTGTTGGGAATTAACGTGTCCTGTATTCCTGCCTTAAGTATGTGATTGGGTTTAATATGGCGCTGTTTGCTTTTTCTTCTAGATACTTCATGGTCCTGATTCAGGAAATGGCTGTGAAGATCGATCAAGGATTTCTCAGTGCAGTTATAGCATTGTTTACCTCAGCCTCAGATCCTCTGGCAGTGACTCAAAAGGTGATGTCAGTTCTTTTATGTTATTACCTATAATGATGGTGCTGGTTTCATTGCCCAGTCGTGTGCTCTATTATTGGAAACTTTTGTATCAATTTAAAAACGAAAACAACTTTATAACTGCCCAGTTTAATTGAGTGATAGCTATATTCAGTGTTCATGAATGAAGCTCAGATGATTGCCTGATGCCAGTTGGCTCCCATCGGAACTTGCTGGTGTTGCTCGTCATTTTGCTCACACTTTGTGGGAGGAAGGATGGATATCCATTACAACTTCACGCAACTGTTAAATCTAGGTCAGCAAGAATGAGGTTGATTGACAAGAGCGCTTGGTATGTTACCAAGTCATCCACTTCAACACCTTCCACCCCAACCTTAAGTTCACCTGGACCATCTCTAACACCTCTCTCACCTTCCTGGACCTCTCTGTCTCCATCTCGGGCAACCACCTAGAAACCGATGTCCATTTCAAGCCCACTGACTCCCGCAGCTACCTAGAATACACCTCCTCCCACCCACCTTCCTGCAAAAATGCCATCCCCTATTCCCAATTCCTTCGCCTCCGCCGCACCTGCTCCCAGGATGAGGCATTCTACTCCCGTACATCTCGGATGTCCTCGTTTTTCTACCCCCCATCAGTGGTCGAGAACGCCCTCGACCGTGTCTCCCACATTTCCCGTAATTCATCCCTCACACCCCGTCCCCGCAATAACAACCAAAAAAGAATCCCCCTCGTCCTCGTGTACCACCCCATCGTCCTCCGACACTTCCGCCATCTGCAATCCGACCCCACCACCAAAGACATTTTTCCTTCCCCACCCTTATCTGCTTTCCGGAGGGACCACTCTCTCCGTGACTCCCTTGTCCGCTCCACACTCCCCTCCAGCCCCACCACACCCGGCTCTTTTCCCTGCAACTGCAGGAAGTGCTACACCTGCCCCCATACCTCCTCCCTCACCCCCATCCCAGGCCCCAAGAAGACTTTCCACATCAAGCAGATGTTCACCTGCACATCTGCCAATGTGGTATACTGCATCAGCTGTACCCATTGTGGCCTCCTCTACATCGGGGAAACCAAGCGGAGGCTTGGTGACCGCTTTGCAGAACACCTACGCTCGGTTTGCAATAAACAACTGCACCTCCCAGTCGCGAACCATTTCAACTTCCCCTCCCATTCCTCAGACGACATGTCCATCCTGGGCCTCCTGCAGTGCCACAACGATGCCACCCGAAGGTTGCAGGAACAGCAACTCCTATTCCGCTTGGAAACCCTGCAGCCCAATGGTATCAATGTGGATTTCAGAAGCTTCAAAATCTCCCCTCCCGCTACCGCATCCCAAAACCAGCCCAACATGTCCCCGCCTCCCTAACCTGTACTTCCTCCCACCTATCCCATCGTCCCACCTCAAGCTGCACCCCCATCTCCTACATACTAACCTCATCCCGCCCCCTTGATCTGTCCGTCCTCCCTGGACTGACCTATCTCCTCCCTACCTCCCCACCTACACTCTCCTTTACTGGCTCCATCCCCGCCTCTTCAACCTGTCTGTTTCCTGTCCACCTATCTTCTCCGCTATCCATCTTCTATCCGCCTCCCCCTCTCTGCCTATTTATTTCAGAACCCCCTTCCCCTCCCCCAGTTCTGAGAAGGGTCTAGGCCCGAAACATCAGCCTTCCTGCTCCTATGATGCTGCTTGGCCTGCTGTGTTCATCCAGCTCTACACCTTGTTATCTCAGATTCTCCAGCATCTGCAGTTCCTACTATCTTTGGTATGTTACCAATTGGTTCTGGATACTCTCCTTCTGCTTCTGAAAGTATAGCTGGTTTTGCTAATCCAAGGGAGTGCATTATCTTATATCATTACATTTCAGAACTTGTTGCACAAAGAATTGACAAACCTTGGCAGCTAAATGTCTTCGTATACAGCTGCTGATCATGTGTCCCCTTTTTATCTTACCTTGATGATGTAAAGATCAGAAATTGCTGGAAAAGCTCAGCAGGTCTGGTAGCATCTGTGGAGAGAAATCTGAGTTAACGTTTCAGGTCCAGTGACCCTTCCTCAGCTGTACTTCTGAATTGATGACCTGAAACATCTGCTAGACCTGCTGAGCTTTTCCAGCAATTTCTATTTTTTGTTCCTGATTTCCAGCATCTGCGGTTCTCAGTTTTTACGATATAAAGATCACATTTGGTCTTGCCTCCCTGGTGGCAAGTCAAGCAGTTAGGTGCTAATGATTACTGAGGAGTATTCCAGCAAAGTGAGAGTTAAATACATGATGAGCATATTTATTTACTCGATGCCAGATGTTTAGAAATGTGTTCTGGGAAAGGTACTATAAATCATTGAGTTTATTCAAATCCAGTCCAGTGCCATGACGTGACATTTAAGGCACATGATACATTACCATCAGTACTGCCTAATAAGGATACATGTGTGAAGTACTCCTATCCTGTTCTTCGCTTTAAAATGGGAAATTAAAGTTGAGGTGAGAAGTGTGGGTTCTGAAGAGAAGTCTTTTGTAGTCATGTATTCTGCTTCACTGTCCAGACTCAAGTGAAGAATAGTTGGGGATCTTTTTGCTCCGTTGGTTAGACAGTGGTTTGTAATGCAGAATGATGACGGTTCGCTTCCCCTGCCCATTGAGTTTGCCATGAAGGATTCACCATCTCAGTCTCTCCTCTCGTGTGAGCAGGTTAGAGGACTATCAGGTTAAACTGCTACAGTCATTTCTCTCTAATGAGAAAGCAGCCCTATGGTCCAGTAAGAATGTGACAACATTCCTTGCCTGGATTACAGAGCTACCCGTGCAGGTGGGAACATTTCCTGGCATTAGTATATCCCATTTAGAGATGCAGAATTCACAAAAAGCCTCTTCAGTTGGTAAGCAGTCAAATTGATTGTAAATATAGCTTTAGTTCACAGATATGCATTAGAGGTAATATTTATTCCTGTCTTCAAGTTCACTTGTGTATAATAGCTGCTTTCACTGAAAAAATTGAAATCTCAGCTTAATATGAATTTTCATAAATATAAATGCAAGATTGGCAGGAGCAAGGCATGAAGTGACTCGCTCACTGGAGAGCCAGTGCATATGTGATGGGTTGAATGACCTCTTTCTCTGCTGTGACAATTCTGTTAGTCATTGTTGCAAATGAACTGAATCAGAGCTGGGCCTGTTAGAATTATTTAAATTACTTTGGTTTTGTTTTGCAGACTAATCTGATAGACCAGGACATGGAAGCCCTGAAGACAGAATTGATGGAAACATCAATGACCGATGCTTCAAGACTTAGCTTCTTTGAGTATTTCCATATTTCACCACTTAAAGTAAGTATTTAAGTTCTCTTTCAAACTTAATAAGGAATTAATATTGTTTACATGTTAATAGAATCTGTTCAGCTCCTGTTAGTAAAAGGATCAGTGGTTCTTTATTTTGGTAATTCAGCCATCATTGTTTTCCGTGCTGTACTTACCTGTTATAACAATTACAACCTGCAGTGTCTGTGAAAATGCTTATTTTGTGCACAAAATGTTGCATTCCCTCAATCGGAGATAGTGGGATTGATTTGCACTGCCACAAGGGAACCTTTGCACAATTCCTTGGAAATGTGTGGTTCATTGCTTTCAATTCCTTCCTTTGTAATTACTGTACAGTGATTTTACAGTTAAATGTGACCAGAAGGTCCATGCTGTAAGCATAATCTTAGCAGACAGAAGTATATTTTGCTTTGTTTTGTCTTTTGTCTAAATATGATCATGCAAGAATGAATAATACAAGGTAGACCGCTAACTACTGGGCCAAATTGAGACTGTTATTCTGCAACGTTCACCTCTTGTGCATCAGTTGAGCAATCTCTTGAATGAAATGCAAAAATTCAGCAAAATATTCTGAGACGTTGCTATACAAAATGCTTCAGGCTTGTATGTTTGTGGAGTAATTTTATCTTGACGAAGGATTGAGCCCAATGCGGGAGGGAGATCGAGCCCTCGTACGGAACTCTCAGCGTGGAGCAACTGCAGGCATGTTGCTAAAGAAGGACTAATCTGGAACTTTAAACTTTTTCTTATTGACTACTTTATACTGAGAAGAATTGTAATATTGAACGTTTAACTTATTTCTTTATTTTTCTACTGTTTACCCAAAATCTTGTACCTCGTACCTTGAACCTAAGGTGGTGCCATGAACAGCAACATTGTAAATATTTCACTGTATCCTGTATCCCTGTAGTTGAGTACTCGTGACAATAAAACCTAATTCTAATTTTAATTTGACTTTCTATTCCTCTATGCAAAATGAATGGTGGGTTGACTATGTAATAATTTTTTGTGTCCCATAATTCATTAATTGCTTAAGCAAATCTAAAGCCTAGTCCCAGAACTAGGGGTCATAGTTTTAAAAACAAAGGGCGCAGCCATTTAAAACAGGTGGGGGAGTATTTTTTTTCCTCTGCAGGTTGAGCGTCATAGTCATTCAGCGTTGAAACAGACCCTGTGGAATTTGCTTCTTCAAAAGGCAGTGGATATAGAATTTTAAAATATTTTAAAAGATAGAAATAGATCCTTGATATATCTTGGTATAAAAGATTATTGGGGATATTCGGGAATGTAGTCTTGAGGTTAAAATCAGATTAGCCATGGTCTTTATGAATGGGGCAGCAGCCTCCAAGGGCCGAGTGGCCTACTTTTGTTATTTGCTATTATATTCATGCAGAGCACCTTATTTCCTGACTTGCAACCTAACTTCTCTGTTAAGGGCATGCCTTTCCTCATCATAACCTCCAGTGAGATTTTATCTTGAACTTGAGAAGCAAATAATAATTTGTCATAAGACATCCACATTTTTCAGTAAACATTGAAACTTTATAGAATATAATATCATGCAGGCAAGCAATCATGCCGGTTCTGTTATTGATTTTTCTACTCTGATGTTGGTGCGCTCACTCACAATCTTCTTTTCTAAATAGTTGCATCTGAGTTTATCTCTTGACTCAGGAGGAGATGAGTCCAGTAAAGAAAAGCATGAAGCAGTGCCACTGCAGTCCCTCCACATCTTACTCAAAAGCATTGGAGCTACATTAACAGATGTTGACGATCTCATCTTCAAGTAAGTGTGAAGTACTGCTTTTCACTATTATGACAGTACATTTTTCTGACCGAAAGCCCAAAGCTGCAAATTACACTTTTTAACACTAACCACCAACAAATAACTGTTGGAACTAGGTGCCTAAATATTATCGTGAAGTAGCTATTTGATTGACTTTATAAAAGTACAGCATCGACCTGTGGATGCCATATTAATTTTAGTATCAAGGTGACTTAGTGTGTTTTGCTTGGAAGAATAAGGACCGGTTCCGTGGGTATCTTCATTTGGTAGAGGAGTGTAAAGATTTAAAAGTACCCATTCATGTATCATTACAAAGGCCACTGCAAGTTAACAAGACCATAGATATGGATAGCATGGGTAGAAGATTGGCTGTCTGCCTGAAAGCAGAGAGTGGGGATAAAAGAGTCTCTGTCAGGATGGCAGCCGGTGACACGTGGTGTTCCGCGAGGGTCAGTGTTGGGACCACAACTTTTCACTTTGTACATTAATGACCTAGATGAAGGAACTGTGGGCATTCTGGCTAAGTTTGCAGATGATACAAAGGTAGGTGGAGGGACAGGTAGTATTGAGGATGCGGGGAGGCTGCAGAAGGATTTGGACAGGTTAGGAGAGTGGACAAAGAAGTGGCAGATGGAGTACAGTGTGGGAAAGTGTGAGGTCATGCACTTTGGTAAGAAGAATAAAAGCATGGACGATTTTCTAAGTGGGGAGAAAATTCAGAAGTCTGAAGTGAAAAGAAACTTGGGAGTTCTAGCCCAGGATTCTCTCAAGGTAAACTTGCAGGTTGAGTCAGTAGTCAGGAAGGCAGATGCAATGTTGACATTTATTTTGAGAGGACTTGAATATAAAAGCAGGGATGTACTCCTGAGGCTTTATAAGGCTCTGGTTAGGCCACATTTGGAGTATTGTGTGCACTTTTGGGCCCCATATCTCAGGAAGGATCCCTGGAGCGGGTTCAGAGGAGGTTCACGAGAATGGTCCCAAGAATGGGAAGCTTAACATATGAGGAACACTTGAGGACTCGGGCTGTACTCATTGGAGTTTAGAAGGATGAGGGGGGATCTAATTGAAACTTACAGAATACTGAACGGCCTGGAGAGAGTGGCTGTTGGGAAGATGCTTCCATTGATAGGAGAGACTAGGACCCGAGGGCACAGCCTTAGAGTAAAGGGAAGACCTTTTTAGAATGGAGATAAGGAGAAGCTTCTTTAACCAGAGAGTGGTGAATCTATGGAATTCACTGCCACAGAAGGTTGTGGAGGCCAGGTCTTCGAGTACATTTAAGACAGAGATAGTTAGGTTCTTGATTATCAAGGGGATCAAGGGTTATGGGGAGAAAGCGGGAGAATGGGGTTGAGGAACTTATCAGCCATGATTGAATGGCAGAGCAGACTTGATGGGCCGAATGGCCTAATTTCTGCTCCTGTGTCTTATGTTCTTATGATCTCATAGACAGTAAAATCAACATATTGAACAAAGAAGAATGAACTGCAGGTGCTGGAGATCTGCAATAAAAACAGAAATTGCCGGACTACTCAGAGATAGTAAGAACTACCAATGTTGGAGTCAGAGGTAACAAAGAGCGGAGGTGGAGGAACACAGCAAGCCAGGCAGCATCAGAGGAACAG